GGAGAGGTGCCTGAGGACTGGAGGAAAGCCAGTGTTACTTCAGTCTTCAAAAAAGACAAGAAGAAGGACCTGGGTAACCATAGGCCGGTCAGCCTCATCTCCATCCCTGGAAAGATGATGGAACAACCTGTTCTTGGTGCCATCTCAAACCATGTTTAGGAAAGGACACAGTCTCCCATGGAATCCTCATAACCAAGCTTAAGAAGTGTGGACAGGACTATGGGGCAGTGAAGTGGGTTGGAAACTGACTGGAGGAAAAGAGCTCAGAGAGTTGTGGTCAATGGGGTAGAATCTTGTTGGAGGACTGTGGTTACTGGTGACCCCCAGGGGTTAGTGTTGGGTCCAGTCTTATTCAATATATTCATCAATGACCTGGACGAAAAGATAGAATGTACCCTCAGCAAGTTTGCTGATGATACCAAACTGGGAAGTGTGGCTGCCACACCAGACGGCTGTGATGCCATCCAGTGTGACCTGGACAGGCTGAAGTGCTGGGCGGGGAGAAATCTCATGAAATTCAATAAGGGCAAGTGTAAAGTACTGCATCTGGGAAAGAACAGCCCCACATATCAGTACAGGTTGGGGGCTGATCTGATGGAGGGCAGCTCTGGGGAAGAGGACCTTGGAGACCTAGTGGACAAGAAGATGACCATGAGCCAACAGTGTGACCTTGTGGCCAAGAAGGTCAATTGCATTTTGGGATGCATTAAGAAGAGCGTGGCCAGAAGGTTGAGGGAAGTTCTCCTCTCCCTCTACTCTGCGCTGATGAAGCCTCACCTGGAGTACTGTGTCCAGTTCTGGGCTCCTCAGCTCAAGAAGGACAAGGAGCTACTGGAGAGGGTCCAGAGCAGGGCCACTAAGATGATGAAGGGCCTGGAACACCTTCCACATGAGGAAAGGCTGAGAGAGCTGGGTCTGTTTAGCTTGGAGAAGAGGAGGGGGAGGGGGATCTTATCAATGCTTATCAATATCTAAAGGGTGGGTGTCAGGAAGATGGGGCCAGGCTCTTCTCAGTGGTGGCCAGTGACAGGACTGGGGCCAAGGCCATAAACTGGAAAACAGAAAGTTCAACCTGAACATGAGGAAACCCTTCTTCACTGTGAGGGGGACAGAGCACTGGAACAGGCTGCCCAGAGAGGTGGTGAAGTCTCTTTCTTTGGAGATTTTCAAAAGCTGCCTGGACTTGTTCTTGTGTGATCTACTCTGGGTGATCCTGCTCTGGCAGGGGGGGTGGACTAATTGATCTCTAGAGATCCCTTCCAACCCCTTCCACTCTGAGACTGTGACTCTGTTAGATTGGCTAGAGCTTTCATCAGCCTGATGGTTGATCATGACAGGAGGTTTGGACTGGATGATTCCATGAAATTCACCAATGCTGGTGCACCTTCCTGTCTTCCTTCCTTCCCCCAGTCTTTTTCCCCATCTTTTAAGCCCCTGAGATCCTCTGTCTTTGCTACTCTTTCCTGATGTAGGCTATCACCTTTCTTGGAGAGAACTTCTCATCAGGGCTACAACCTGTACTTACCTTTCACACTGGAAAATCCCAATAGCCAAATGCACTTTACCTGTTGGAGCCATGAGAACTGCTACACTGGTGTAAACGTTCTAGATGATAAAGAAACAACCCTGCATTGCTGGCTTTGTGTTTTTTTTAACTAAAGAATCCCATAGAAGTGAGGGAAATTTCATTTCAAATACAGCTAACATTAAGACCACTGCTGGTTCTGGGCATCGACAAGCTACAAAAAATGTCATGGTTGTCCCCTTTTCTGTCTTCAAAAGGACAACACATTAAAATTACAAAGTTTGAGACAGAAACAAAGATCCTAACTGCAGTTATTTTG